GGTAAATGTTAAAATAAACTAACCAGGAGGCTAAAAAAGGAAGCACAAAAAGAATCTGAATCAAGGAAAAATGGCAACAAATGCCCCTTCTGTTTTTGCAGTATGCCTTGCTAGGGCCCTTTTTGGTGTATCTAAATCAAAAGGTACAGTGGAAAAGGAAACCATGCACATGGTTGGCAAGTCCTTGTTTTTGCAGACATGACTAGTTTCCTCATTTGCAGAATCTTATTCTCTGTGAACAAAGGCTTCCTGATTGTCACATGAACTTGACTAGAAAGCTATCCTGCAGCTAAAGAGATATCAAATATTAATATTTTTGCTTATGTACCCAAAGGTGTGTGTATTGAATAGGTCTTCAGTCTGGATTATAGCTAAAGCCTCTTGAAAAAGCCAAATACAATTTTAAAATTACAGTGATAAATCAGTGCCATGTGTTTTGTCAATGAGCAATGCTAGGTAAAGTCAGATACAACCGCTGAGTCTGAGATAAAGCCAGTGGGAGCAGAGAAAATGGTATTTACCAAGGAAGGAATACATTCTTTCTTTTGTTTTGTTTTGTTTTTGTTAAATTCAGAGTAGGAGGCGGCAGGAGGTTTCGTGTGTAAAGACTTGTACATACACAGGCATAGCTCATTCACTCTGTATTTTAAATAAAGGGCATTGCAGAGTATCCTGAGCTGCTGTTTAATGAAGAAGTTAGAAGAAAGTTGTGGTTTGTGTCACAGCACAGGTGGATGCTGTTGTGCAAGCCTTGCAGTATGGAATGCATCCAGAACGGTTTCTTCTTTCAGCTTGGATGAATAATGGCCACAGAATTAAGTGCCCAGAGAACATTAAACAGTGTCTGTTCTTCCCATAATTACACACAAGTTACCCAGTGGGCCTGACATGACCTTACTTTTAATAACTGGCCCTTATGCTTGGCTTCCCTCTCTCAAGGTAAGGCTGCAACAGCAGGACACGTGTTGACCTTTTGTCTTTCAGAAGACACAGGAACCAGAGAGGAGTTCACTGCTTGTCAGGAGGTCCTCCTTCCACCTGCTTGGGCAAAAAAGTCCTCAAGCAGTAATATATAAATATCGGGTACTCACCTAGTGATCTCTCCATTTACCTTTTGGCTTTTCTACACACTGGCCATTAAGATTTGAAGTTTTGATGATCCCCCCATAAGCTCTGTCTTTTTGAAATGGGATTGTCGCTTCTCCTGCAGTGTAACCATGGAAACAGACAGGGAACCCTTAAAGAAAGTGATCGAACATGCTGTGCTAATTAATCCTGCCCTTCAGTGTTCTTTCAGCTGAAGGATGTGGTTAAATAAATTTTGCATGAGTAAGCATATTTGGATGTGCAGAAGGGTTTAAAATATGTATCAAATTTTCTTGCAGAAGAATACTTGAAAGAAAAAAAACCCAAAGATGGTAACTGTCATCTGTTTACATCCAGAGTATCAAAACAAGAAATGCAGTATCTTGTTACTGTTTCACATATATATTTTGATAACATTCTTTTTAAACTGTAAATATATCTGAAACATGAGGATATTTTTTCATGCCTTAAGTGTGCTGAGAGATGTTTGCATTAATTTTGAGTCTTCAAGTGGAAGTGATCATAATTGCAAATGCCTTCTTTATGCAGAGCATTATTCAGAAAACGCAAACTTTCCTCCTTCAGTGAGAGAAAGCAGCTCCTCTGAAGCATTAGCCTAATTCAGGTCCTTTCAGTTATGCCCAGGGGGAGTGATTGACAGCAGGACTGTGCCAAATTTCCCTCTGCCAAACTTTAGCCTTTGTGAGTGTTTCCCTGGGTTATTCATGCCTGCTTTCCATTGGGCCATTTAGTTTCCAAAGCGTGGAAGTGAGTATGTATGGCCTGTACCCAGGGATTAAACCTGGTGATATCCTCTGATACCAGTGTATGGCCTCAACTTGCCTTTATAAATTAAGGGTTTGTTTATAACTTTCTCCCTTCCAGTAATGATCCTCTTATAACTGAGAAACCAGACATAGCAGCTAACCTCAAACGAGGCTATCATGGTGTTTGGGGAGTGAAGAGAGAGAAAAGAAAAGCATCTCCTTGTCCCAACAGTTTTGGATTAGCCCCGAAGGGCCATCCTTTGAAAACTGCATGGGTTTTACCTAACCTGGAATGGATTAGAGGTGGAGGGGATCTCGAAGCAGTGGGCCGAGGAAAGAGAATGGGGAGCAGACCCATCAGGGTGGGAGGACTAGTTCCATGCTGAACAGTTACACAAAAGAAGGAAAAGTGTGCCTGGGCTGACCGTACCACTTGCAAAGTTCATCCTGGCCAGTAAAGTGGCAGCAACTGTCAGGAAAGCATGAATATTGTATTATTTGCAGTATGATTCCTGGTATAGCAAGTTGGATACTCATTCCTCCCTGCATGGGATATTTTGTGTGTGTGTATCGAAGACTTTGTATCATGGAAACCTGGTTCAGTTTTCACCCAACAAACTCTAAAGTTTTTTAACAGTTTTCCCCAAATCAAATGATGTTGCTGTCTTCTCAAAAAATGCCTTTTCCCTGCCTGCCTATGCCTTTTCTCCTATAAAAGCTAGGTAGAAGATTAGAGAGGAAGTAGTTTGCAGTCAAATTCAGTCTTCCTCAGACAAGACTAAAAGGGGACTCGGGCAAAGGAGGATGGAGTCATTAACCATCCAGGCTTCTCCAATTCTTTCATAATTTTTATTTGGCTTAATAATAGTAGATCCATATCCACAAATTCAGGGGCTACTGTTTCAGCATTGTTATGTGGGATGTTGGTGCTCAGAAACTTACACTTGTTGATGTTTTGCTAAGCTATGAATAAGAACTACTCACCATTTAGAGGATTTGGTGGTTTCTAATCTCCTAAAAGCAAAAACAATGTGGAGGCAGAGGCAGTGCAGAGCAGGTGACGTGACCTCTCCTCTAGCCTCTTCAGGGCTGTACCTGTCCAGTCCTGAGTAGTCTGTGAGCCACAGTATTCACCAAACTGGTGGCCACGTGCCCAAATGTAGAAGAGTTGGATCTCTGAAAACCTGTGGGAAAAAAACCAAACCTATTTGTATGTGAAATGTAATTATTTTTCTTTTTTTTTTAGAGGGAATTCTGGCATACCAGTCAAATTATTCCCCTAGGCTGGTCTAATTGCTATAATCAGCTGATAATGCAATCTACTGCCAAATTTTGCAATCATTACTATGGAGATATATTCACTGAGATTAACTGTTCTTAAATAGCTTCTCAAGTGTATTAAGAATAAAGGTGCAAAGGACTTCCATCTGCATTCCTGTGTGAATTCTCGTGTGTCATATTACCTTCTGGGTGTCTGACTTCACTTTTTTGATTCCATAAGGTGTAAGGCATGACCTGTTTTAATAATTTCTTTTGTTTCATGACAGGGAAATCAGTATTTCTTGGTTTAGGAAGACACAAAAAAAAAAAAAAAAAGTCATGCATCCTCCTGATTTCCATTACTTGTTCTTGAAGTGCTGGGGTTGACATGTGGATGATGTCCACAACCAGGCAAAAAATACCCTCCTGATTGGTTTTCACACAGGGTCTGTCCAGCCTTGGGTGGGAACCAATCAGGAGATTACCACCAGGTGCCCCTGCCTTAGCATTACCATCAAGTGTCCCACCTCTAAAGTTAACAGCACAGAGGCTGGCTCTGCCTGTAGTGAGTGGGGGAGCTTGCCTAGGTGGTGAATGTACTAGGTAGGGTTTCCAGTTACTGGAAGGGTCCCCAGCTGTCCATTGCAGGCAGAGCTCCCAGTGGTGCAGAGACACCACCACAACTGGGAGTGGAGGGAGGGTTACATCTGTAATAATGGTGCTGTTTTTTGGCCACTGCTATGCAGTTGGAATTGGACTGGTCACCTGGTTTCTGAGTCAGCTTGCTCCTGTCCTCACTCCATCCTACACCGTGAGTGAATGTGTCAATCTCTTTGTTCCTCTGGTGGTTAACCACCTCGTATCCTCCTTGTGTAGTTTAGAACTGGGGGGAAAGAACTGGCCCCTGTGCTGCTTATGGATGTAGTGTCCTTCCTATTGGGGCATGCAGTCAGCAAAAGACTTGTGCATGTCCAGTGTTCTCAGCAAGGAAGTGGATACTTGCAGGCCAATAACTGAGAGCAGGTTATCTGGAAAAATGTTTGCAGGCCTGTGATGGGAACAGTCACTGTAGCCTGGAAATCTTTTTCCATTTACTGGAGGAAAGAGGCTTCTGTAGGAGAACTGTTAGAAAAGTATGCTCTCTGTTTTAAGCATATCAGGGTCTAACCTATCTCATGTAAAATTGGAAAGATTTTATGATTGTGCTGTAAGATGAATTATTTTAAATGATTGACAAGCTTAAAAGATAATTATTGTAAATAGTTTATCTTTAATAGGTCACAGACATCTCTGAGATGGGTGCACTGCCAATTTTGTGCATATAGTTTTCTGATATATCACTGATGTGTTTGATAATGTGTAAGTGCGCCTACTGCTTTCAAATATAAGCTTGAATAAGCAGGCTGGAGTTCATAGTGTAAACTGTGGAAGGCTTCCTTAGGCTCCTCCCAAAAAATCAAATCTCATCTGTGGCATTATTTGTCTGGGAGTTTCCTTTTCATTTCCTTTTTCTAAATAACATTGGCATGAAAGACTACTGGTGGCTATGGATGGAAGCCTTACTAGAAATTAAAATCTTTGGTCATTTGTCTTTCATTTAGATATAGCAGTGTGTATCTTTGCATCTTTCCTGGACCTGCGGTTGTCATTAGGGAAAGCATATTTTATTATTCCTTCATAATATTCACAGCTCTGTTTAGCCAGGTACTAAATGATAGATGCTACCATGTTCTTTTATTAAGTAACTTATTCCAATCCCAGAAGAAAAAAATGCTTACAACGTGCCAACATGTTATGTGATGTGTGCTCACATGTCCTATTTGGACTGTAACTATGTAGCAAGCCGTTTGGTTTGTCTGCATTAATTTATTTATATTTACCCCACAGGTCTTGCAAGAGCTAAGTCAGTTCCCAGCCATACATATTCCAATGAAGTGGTAACCCTATGGTACAGGCCTCCAGATGTCCTTCTGGGATCAACAGAATATTCCACCTGCCTTGACATGTGGTAAGTATAGCACTGATATTTTTGTTTGTTTGTTTCTAGACATGTAGTGAGATTAGTGGTACAGGTTAAAAAACTTGTATGTGGGAATTCATGTGGGTCACTCAGTATCTCCCTGAAGGAATCCCCTCCTGCCACCCCACCTGTTGGCAGCAGCTGATACCTGCTGTTGGCACACCACTACAAAAGCCATTGTTGCTTTGCAAGAGACTGAGTTGTTGCTTGACTTTTGTTGTCTTAATGTGGTACTTTGGTGACAAGATACTTGCTTTGCAGAAATAGACTTTTCCCGTGCCCAGCTGTAGCCAGGACAAAACCAAGATTTTCTGGACATGAGGATACAGCCTCAGTTCTTAATCGACTGTATTTGTTAGCAGTAAATCAGTGTGTGACACATCACTGAGTAGTTTTCTTTCAAACATAAGGATTTTATTTACACCTGCAGGTTTGAAATGGAATTTTTGTGTATAATATATATTGCTCCTTTATAATTTAGTCCTGCGTTGAACAAAGAAGGTATTGGGGGTTTTGTCTGTTAGAAACCAAGATGGAGGTTCTTTGATTTTCCTGTAGGAAAATTTGAGGTCACAGGATCTTTAATGTGTAACAATTCTGTAGTTATTAAGAGTTTCAACTGTGTCAGTAGAAGTAATGCATGTTGAGTCAAGAAACAGGAATGTGGAAAAAACCAATTCCTTACAAAGAAAGTCTTATGCCCTGGAAGAAGTTAATTATTTAATTTTTTCTGGTCAATGAATCTCATTTTTTTCCCCCCTAGTGCTGCTCAGTCTGGACTCATGGGGGCAGGAGTTAGAAGCTGGAGGACTGTTTTATTTGAAGAGGTTATGAATACTAGAACACCTCCTGCTGA